CAGTAAATCTCTGACATTTACCAAAGTATGTAAGTTAGTTCTATCTGATCGTAGACTACTTAAAAAGGAAATATATGCAAAGACCTAATCATTAGTGAAATTTCAGCCCTGTACAGGCCACTACCTACCAAGTCTGTGCACTCTGTTATGTCACAAGTGTGACATACTTCCCAAAAAGGAAATTTTCGCAGTTGAACACCAGAATGATCAGAGAATGTCACAGATCGTCACAAAATTAAAGTTGTGCCTTTTGACTATACAAACAACTTTCATTAAGTGACCTATGGTCACAGCTCAATAAATGTGTTCAAACTGTCTAATCACTGGTTAATAGGTAACTGATGGGCCTCTGTCTCCATAGCTACTCCAGCTACATACATGAATCAAGTACCAAATGAAGGGTCTCAAAGGTATTATTAATCACTGGGTTTTTTTTATCATCATAATTTAATATGATTATTATATTCACCATTCATTTATAAAAAAGAGAATATCTCAGAATCAAATATGTAAGGTGGCTGGATTGTAGGTTTAGATACTCTAGACTAAGGCTCTAGTATGCAACCTTCCAACCTACCATGCATATGGCACTGAGAATACAATGCATTCGCTCATCAGTGGTATTTGATCTCCATCAACTCTGAAAGATAAGCATGGATCTTCAGCTAGCCTGGGAGGATAGAGCTGGGAGAGAGCTCATTGGAAAGGTGTATCATGTCACCATCTCCTGACCTCTTCAGTCATATTATTTGTCACCATGACCTCAATCTATTTACTGATAAACATGCATGAATGCTGAGTTGAGAGGTATTCTGTTGATATCTTTAGACACCATGCCCAGAATATCTTGATCCAAGTTGGTATAGTTTCATAGAATGCTCCACTACACCTCCACCCAATTTTGACCACACAGTCAGTGCTAGGGACATTCAATTCCTAGAGACCTTAGGTGCTATATAACCCAGGATAGGGATATGCTATAGGGTCAGGGGCACGACTTTCTGGGAGGTGGATCATACCCCTACTGATAGGTATACTCAGATTCCTAAGAATCACAAAGATCATGCCATGGTGAACTCATCATCTTTGGAATAGATAACACTGATAATGGTATTGTAAGAGATCCAGAACAGCTATGGGGTTGATTCAAGTGCTGGACATGTTCATCTGAAGGTCTATACCATCCTATGTCCAAGTGTTGGATCACACTTGAAATTAATTTCTGACCAGTTGTAATAGCGAAGACACTCTCTTTGGCTCTATGGATACCTACCCTCTCTTCAGCTACCTTCAGCAACACATGCCAGAACCACAACTGATTACAGTCCATGGTCCTAGTGAACATCTAAATATCATCATACACCCACCGCAATATTCAATACTCAGTCTGTAGACCTTACTATTCATGTAAACCAGTTTTACATATAAGCTGCAGTTGAATGTGCGCTTCAATTCATCCTTCAAGCACATACAGAGATCAATCAGAGGGTGTAGCTAGATATATATACCTTATCAACTGAATTCTACATATTTTGATCTATAATCAACCAGCAGATCATAGCGGTATTGCATATATGATGTGTGATAGCAGTCCTGTGTATAATGAAGAATAACAAGGGATTATATGCATACAATAGGGTAGGAAGGATATCATCTTTTAGGGGGACCTTTCTGTATGCTTCTTACCTTCATCTCATTGGGGAACTCTCACCTCTGAGTGAGTTATTGAAAGATTGGAGTGAGAGGATATACAGCATATATACAGGTAGATAGGATTCCTAAAAATATAGGTGGTGCTTATAGCTCTGATGGACATCCGGTAGACCATAATGCAACTTGAATGATGCTTATCCATGGATCCCTCAGCAAGATATGAAGTGATCATTGTGCTCAATCAAATTTACAAAAGGAAAAGTACAGAAAAGTGGTATACCAGTATAACCTAAGGTTATAAGAATAGACTCACATCAAAACATGTTTACATTAGGTTATTATCTACCTACCAGTATAACAATCATCTAATTTGATGTAGAATTAGTGGAGATACTACTGCATCAATGTGTGTGATGAATAATCATGAGATGATATATATATATTAATAACATTGTATTGTCAAGGGTATTATTCTTATCATACAGGTACCCTTTGTAGTGCTGAAATCATCTATGTAAGTTATCTACTAAGTGAGATATCACTACATCAGGGGTATATCAGTAAATGATTAGCCAGTGCTGACACATTTATTGAAAGTTGTTTGTATAGTCAAAATGTACAACTTTGATTTTGTGACGATCTGTGACATTCTCTGATCATTCTGCTGTTGAACTGCGGAAATTTCCTTTTTGGGAAGTATATCACCTTGTGACCTCATGTCACACTATGTAGCAGAGTCTACGAACCTGGTAGGTATTGGCCTGCACAGATGCTGACATTTTAGGACTTTATTTATATTTCCTTTTTTTTAAGTAGTCTACAATCGGATAGAACTAACTTACATACTTTGGTAAATGTCAGAGATTTACTGCAGCATATGTAGCAGCCGCTGACTTAGAAGTTACTCTGTCATATATCTAGAAATTATTGCAGTTTTCTTGCAGCATTTATTGCAGCACAGGGATTTTTTGATACTTTCCTTCTAATATGAATTGACGGTCAGGTATACCGTCACTTCATATTAGAAAGGATATGTGGGAACTACAGGTGGTAGTGATGGCCAGGTCCGGTTCGGGATTTTGGTTCGAACCCGAACCGGACCGGACTGAACGCGCGTTCGGCATTCAGGTTCGGCCAAGGCCATTTCCGAACCGAACCTGGCCCTCAGTTCGGCCAGGTTCAGCTGTTTTTGGTCCAAAAACGCCGGTTCGGGGCCGGTTCGAACCGACGTTCGGCAAAATCCTGTTTTGAACCGAACCGGCGGTCTGGCGTTCGGCCGAAAAGGGCCAAGAACCGGACCGAACCGGACTTGGCCATCACTACTATGGGGTCCAAAACGTGCAATGAGGAATTTCGGACCCTTCCTACCCTATTTACATAAGCCATGTGACATCCAAAAAAAAAGGAAATTTTTCTTAATTTTTAAACTTTTTTCTCTCAGATGTAAGCTCTACTGTCTAGAGTTTCTGCTGCACCACCTCAATCCTAAACTTGAATTATATATCCTACTGCCCTGAAACCTAGATGATTTGTCTGTAGGCATGTTGTTGCTGCCAGATTTGCTTCAACTTATTGTACTATATATAGTGTGATATAGTCAAAAAATTCCAGCCAGCTGTTACCAGCTCTCAAAAATGCTCATTTGTAGTCATCTAAACATCCCAGAACTTCAAGTCCAAAAAGTGAGATAGTGTCCTGCCTGACCCCCCTACCCTATGTCACACGCGTGACTCAATGTCTCAGGCTGATGATCTGCCTCACCCAAGGCTTGACGTGGTGTGATATCATCATTATTCATTGGCCAGCAGTGCTGAGCACCAAGTATTTACTTACTTACTTCCACACTGGCCAGCTCAACAGTGCCAATACCAGTGCTCTATACACATCTTTGGAATTAGTATATACTATAGTTTATCCAGTGAAGCGACTCACTTTTGTATAACTCACGACTGCCCACCTCTGCCTTGGCTTTGATAATGCCATTGCTTATCTTCCTCCTTGCCGCTTGGTGGTGTACCCTGTCCATGTCTGTATGAATATGGCGCCCTCAACAGTCTTGGATCCTGCTGTTGCTGATGCTGGCCACGAGCCGCATCCCCAACTCCACCAGGCCGCATAGGCATATCACGACTCGAGCCTTGCTGGAACTCATGTGGGGTGCCGGAACGAGAATGAGCTCGAGTCTGCTGGTAACCAGCGGGGTACACATTTGATTGAGATGGTGGAGGATGGGAAGGTGGCCTGTAAAGATTCGCTGGCGCTAGTTGAGGGTATCTGTGATGGTAAGGAGGTCCTTGGGACGGTGCGCCGGAACCGTCGCTAGAACGAGAGCTCTTGCTACCTGGAGACAGTGTTGGAGAAGGAGAAGGCTCTTGTTTGATGCGAGTGACAGTGTCGACGTAGAGGTGGTGGCCGTGCTGGGCTTGGGGATGGGCCAATGGCTCCTGAATATAGCCTCGATATACTGGTGGGTGGGAAAGCTCCTGGTGGTGCTGGTATCGCAGCGGCTCATACTGCTGCTGCTCGTATTCACTCCCACTCGCAGATTCGACATCTGTCTCACCTGCTTCGACCTCACCATCGGAACCATCTTCTTCCTTCCCGGGGCGGCGTTTACGCTGCCGCTTGGTTCCTTCTCCTCTCGAGTAGTCCAAGGTCCAGTACCCTCCCTTGCCGGATTCCTGGACTGGCCGGTCAAGGTGTCGAAAAACTAGGTGCAGCGACAGGGCATGTCGAATTGAACCCTACAGGCCGTTGAGCACGATATTACCATGAAAAAAAGCACAGCAAATGCACCTTCCAAGCAGCGTTAGACGGCCCTGTCCGAAAAAACTCATACCGCCCTTCAATCGCTGAGTATATCTCCCTCAGCGTCAGTCTCTTTGTCTTGCTCTCATAGATTGCCACTGTTGAGCCGCCAGCGCGGCTGGTCGCGGAGATCGCGTCACGTCAGCGACATAACATCAGCACGCCATCACGCGCATCAAACGCGTTCACGCGCTCGACGGCGACGTGTCCCGGCCCACTGACTCATTGGGCGCGGCCCCGGAGCTCGGTCTGACTCGCCCTCGGAGTCATTTCATTTTATTACGAGTATATAAAGCCAGTGTCTTCCATAATTCAAAAGCTTTTTGCTCCCTCCAGTTCATGTTATAAGTCTCGCGCCCTCGTCGTAGCGCATCGCCGTCTTAGTCAGCATGTCTCTTGTCGTCCTCGTCCTCCCCACCAATACCACTATATCATCCTACACTCCAAGTCCTGGGTATGGACTACCCTCGCATATACACAACAGCAGTGCGACCCTCGGAGTGTTTGGTTGCACCCAGTGTGGTGTAGCTTGCGCTCTCAGTCGCGTCGCCTGCGCATCATATTGGAGCCCACCGCGAGGGGCCCAGTCCAGTGCTCCAGGCACTCATTTATCTATTCACAAACTCATCGACTCCGGCTTTCCTTCGCATTCGCGTCCTTCGGCTTCAAAAGATTGCCATGCTACTCTACAGTCACCACCATCATACTCAAATCTCGCCCCCGCTCACGCGCCCGTGCTCAGTCCCGCTCCGACCATCGCTCAGCCTTCCCCTTCGCTTCCGTCCGAGAGTTCTCTGCACCAACCCGTGTTCTCGCCCAACATCGATCCACCGCACGTCACCTATCCCAGTTCACATGGCTCATCTATTCCACCAGCGCCTCCCGTTCCCGCTCCCGTCGCACGAGAAGCACATGTCGGTCCACTCCCGCTCCCGATGCCCGCTCGTCGAGACCGTATCGCCCCAGTTTTCGATTCGGCGCACCCCCGAGACCTTCCCAAATTCTTTTCCGACCTCGAATTCCTTCTTGCTCGTGCCAGCGTCATTGATGACCAGCAGAAAAAGCACCACGCTACGCGATACCTCGAGCTCAACGACCAAGAACTTTGGGAGTTCCTGCCTGAGTTTGCCAACCCCGGTTCGTCATATGCCGAGTTTGTTGACGCCGTCTTCGCGTTGTATCCCGAAGCCAACCCAGACCGCCGTTTCGCAATTGCTGACCTTGAAGCTCTCGTCTCCGCGTTCGCATCGATCGATACGCCATCCCGAGCCACATTCTGCGCGTTCTATCGCGATTTCTGGCGCGTCTCATCCTTCCTGCGCTCCAAACGTCGTCTAGCCGATTTTGAGCAGAGTCAAGCTCTCGTCAGAGCTATTCCGCCCGCGCTTCGTCCCGCTGTCGGCCACGAACTCGAGCTGCGATGTCCGGACGTCCAGATCGACGACGCATACCCGCTTGACGCCGTTCGTGCCGCCATCGACCGTGTATTGCTGCGAAACAAGGCATCTTCGTCATTAGCTGCAAAAGAAGAGTCAGTATCGCCCAAAATCGAGAAAATGCCACACACCAACGTTCCCCGCTCGGCCAATGACCCTTCCGCTTCACGTCTCGACTCGCCGCCTTCGCCTCAGCGCTTTCGTTCGAGCTGCTCGTACTGCAGCGATCCCGCACATTGGATCCGCGACTGCCCCCGTCTCACGTTCGATCTCGCGTCCGGCTTTTGCAAGCGCAACGCAGAAGGCAAGGTGGTCTTGCCTAACGGCCGTTTCGTCCCGCATACTGTCGTTGGCCCAGATCTGCGCTCCCGCATCGAGTTATGTCGCCCAAGTGTACCACCGCCGTTTGCTGCCCCGGTCGTCGTTCCAGCGCAAAGGCCTCCACGTGTAGAGCCGACCAGCCGCCCAGTCGCGTTGCCCAGCGTACTGATACCGCTTACCGAGGCCCAGCGCATCGAACAGATCGAGTTCGAGCTTGCCGTCTTGCATGGCCGTCGTACCCAGCTCCAACCAGTGCATTCCATCGACATGCCGCCGCCGTCATCGCCGTTGTCGTTGCCCAACCAGCGGCAGCGCATCGAGAGGTCGTTCCTCATCCCGCCTCAAGTTTCGCAGGAGTCGTCCGCGCCCAGCAGTCGTTTGTGAGGGATATGTTGATTGTTTCGTTGCACAGCCATTTTGCCCCGGTTTTCGGCCTTCATTCTCGGTTTCCCGCTTGTTCCCGTCGCCCTCCAGACTTGTATCACCGCCCTCGCGAGTCGCGCTATCGAACCTTGTCAGTATTTCAGTCGGGAGGACCCACTGCGACACACCTTTTGCCGCGGTCTCCCTTCAGCGCCTGCTCAACGCGTCTCCGCCTTCGGTTCCTCTATCCTGCCATGCTCGTCTTCGCTCTCGAGTCCCAGCTCACACGCCCGTCGCCCTCGTTGGCAGCTTGGCGTTGCCGTCGTCGCCTCCTCGTCGTGGTCAAGAATCAAGAGATACACAGCCACGGCATCACGGTCACGCAGCTTCCTGATCCGGTCGGGTTCATGCCATGTCGCGTTTCCCCGGTTGCGGATGACTGGGGACAGTCATGTTTTCAGTTGAGAGGAGATGTTGAGCCGCCAGCGCGGCTGGTCGCGGAGATCGCGTCACGTCAGCGACATAACATCAGCACGCCGCGGCATCACGCGCATCAAACGCGTTCACGCGCTCGACGGCGACGTGTCCCGGCCCACTGACTCATTGGGCGCGGCCCCGGAGCTCGGTCTGACTCGCCCTCGGAGTCATTTCATTTTATTACGAGTATATAAAGCCAGTGTCTTCCATAATTCAAAAGCTTTTTGCTCCCTCCAGTTCATGTTATAAGTCTCGCGCCCTCGTCGTAGCGCATCGCCGTCTTAGTCAGCATGTCTCTTGTCGTCCTCGTCCTCCCCACCAATACCACTATATCATCCTACACTCCAAGTCCTGGGTATGGACTACCCTCGCATATACACAACAGCAGTGCGACCCTCGGAGTGTTTGGTTGCACCCAGTGTGGTGTAGCTTGCGCTCTCAGTCGCGTCGCCTGCGCATCACCACCTGAACGAGAAGAGGGAGTGGCACACTCGGCCTCATATCTGCCGCGTAGTCCGGCAAAGCGGAGAGGGTGATGGGGACGTTTTCAGGGAGATTCAGCTTCCGACGGAGGATAGGAGCTGGGTCTGGGCCGGGCATTGGGACGGGGGGAGACTGAGAGAACGGCTCGACCGGCTGGTGAAAGGCGGCTGGTGGAAGGGTGGTTGGCATTGACAGCGACGATTGAGACCGGGCTGGTGCTCGTGTCAACTTTGGAGCCGTGCCCGCTCGACGAGAACTGCCCTGTTGCATGGGGAACGAGCTCTGCTGGACCTAAGATGGGGAAGGATGAGGATGAAGAGATGTCGAGTATGGTGAGAGTGGAGAGCAAGCCGGGAGCTGGTGGGCTCGTGCTGGTCGAAAGCATGTTGTGGGTAACCCTTGGGAAAAAATGTCAGTCCCCACAAAAGGCGGTGGGAAGAGCCAAAGAACACACCTCATAGTCGCGGTTTTACGGGGGAACGTACGGTGCATCGTCGGTATACCGTCGCTGTGGTCGTCGACCTCGCTGGACGGTATTTGTGTGAAGGCGGGCTGAGGCGCAAGTGGAGATACTTATCGATGGCGGTAGCGCCAAAACGAAGAGGCATCCACTAGGCCAATGCAAACGCTAGGCCCCAGCCTCGTCTCCCCTCCCCTCGTCGGTACATGCGCGCGTTGTGGTGTGCGCAGTGAAGAAGGCAAAACTGAGGCTGTGTGGGAATCCGCCTCGGCCCTCGGCGCCGCATGCCGGATTCTTGTCAGTGCTTCTTTTTTATCAACCACCACCTGCACACCACTGGAACCCAGTCTCTGCCGCGCCTTGCTGCTCTTAAGCTTCATCAACTGCCGTGTGGCCTTTGAGTGGACGCATCCCGCACCTCCCCTGCCCATTTCCTGCCCAACCCGCTCAAAATCCTCAGGACAATGCTTGGACGATGCACTGCTGGTGGCTAGTCTCACTCAACGGCAAGACGGCTCCACAGCCATCCTGGCGCCAACCGCAAGCCGCGCCATTGCGGTGGGATCTGTATCCGGGCCAGCGGAAGGCACGACTTTGGCATAATCTTCCCAGAAGTCGACCGGGGCCGCATTCTCCACGTCAGGGGAGATTCTCGGGACTCAATACATCTGTCTCGGCGCGTCTCCGCGGTCTGCCGCGGTTTATGAAGCTAACATTGTAAGAAGCACTTCAACGAGTCAATTAGGTAACATTTTAAGCAGACCCTAAATTTCTATATTTACAGTGTGTGTGAATAGCTCGTGCTATGACAGCTACACAAATCACTCCCAGGCCTTGTCGTAACGGCGCCGGTGTCATCGTTGTCATTGGGAGTCTGTTGGGAGTCATCAATAAACGACGAACTGCCCATCACATTGATGTCACACGAAGCACATCTCTCGTCCGCCCCCCATCCCGATGTCGACCCTGCACACGCTCCCCTTTGAGCTCCTCGCGCACATCTGCGAGCTGGCTGAGCGGCGGGACCTGTGGGCGCTCGTGCGCACGTGCACGTGGCTGCGGCGCGCGGGGCTGGGCGTGTACCTCGGCCGCCTCGGGGTCTTGCGCGCGCACGCGGAGGCCGGCGCGCTGACGCTGCCCGCGGCGCAGTCGGACGCGGCGCTCCTGATTGTGCTCGCGGGCCACCTCCGCCCGCTGCGCCGCCTCATCGCGTTCTCCCACGCCGCGCGCCGCCCCCGTCACGGCCCGGACGGGCTTCGGCTACCTCGCGCTCGCGGGGGTGCTGGCGAGCGGGCCGCCCGTCCCGGACGTGATGGTGTACAACCGCCACAGCAATGCGAATGCGGCGTGGACGACGCGCGAGGCGCTCGAGTTGCTCGCGCGCATGCCGGCGGTCGCGGACAGCCTCCTGCTCATCGTCAGCGCGGAGCGGTGGGTGCTCTCCCGCCCGCGGACGACGCGGCCCTTGCTGTGGTGGCTGCCGCGGCGGCCGGTGGTGTGCCGCCCGGCGGTTTTGCCCGCCTTGTTCTGGGGCGTCCCGCTGCTGGCCGCGGTCCTCGTGACGAACATCATCCTGCTGCTGCTGTGGGCGTGGGACGCGCTCGCCGGGCCGGCGTGGCCGTTCGAGGCGCGCCTGGCGCACGACTACGGCGCGCTGGAGTTTACCTACTGGATGCGCGTGCAGACGCTGCCAGGCTTGACGCTCGTCACGCTTGTCGACAAGGAGAAGCCGCAGCTCGCAGTCCGCCCGCCGAAGGGACTAACACCGGCGCAACTCTCCACTGTCATGCACGCGCTCGACATTAGCCGGCACCGCCACACGCAGACGCTGCTCGTCGCCCCGGATGCTAAGGTGGAGTATGCCGACCTCGTTGACATGGTGCACCGCCACGCGTTCGAGGGGATCACGCTCGGCCCGGGGAGCATCCGCGCGGCGTCCCTCCCGCGTGCGCCGGACCCCGGGACGACGGGTGCCGCCGTCCTCCACATGCCGGCCGCGTACGTCCCGCACTTCCTTGTGCCGCACGTGCGCGGGATATCGCTAGAGCCGCCGAATGGCAGATTCAACGCAGCGGAGTACGACGCCGTGCTGGACGCCATCGCCGCACTGCCCGGCACCCAGCCCATCGCCCTCAGCATCGCCCTCCGGCCCGGGAAGACCGGCGCCGGGCTGCCCTGGACGCGGCTCATCCCGGCGGACCCCGAAGCCAGCGCGGTGCATCCCCGCCCGCCGCGCGTGGCGGTGCTGACGCTGTTTGCGGTGGGCGGCCCGTTCCGCGCGGCGCACCTCATCGATGACACCACTGCGTTCCCGCGCTGGCTCGTGCTGTTCCCCGGCCTGCGCCGGCTCGAATTTGCGTGCGGCGCCGTGGAGCTGACAGCGGAGCAGCGGCAAGCGCTTGCGCAGAGGATACGGGCCGCGGGCCCTGGCATTGGCGGGGCAGCGGAGGCGATTGTGTGGCGGGCCTAGCGGGCTGTATTGTGTCCTAACTTATGTAGTCTGGTCTGAAACTTGCGTCAAACTTCCGCTCGTGAATCATACCAGTGAGTCCTTCCGACCCGAGACTAGCTGAGTCAAAGCGGAGCCCCTGATTCATGATCACCTGTATCCCCGACTCTGTGTGAACAGAGAGGGTTTGGCGAAACCGGAATCGCCATCCGTACGCCAACGACCTTAGCTATTTTGATCCGCATTTGAATAGACATTTGAATACAGATTTCGGGTCACTGTAAGTCACTGATGTCGCTGAACCCGTCGTCACACCTCCAAATGAGACCTTCGATTGCTTTCTGCTTCTGCAACCACTTGGAATTGCACCAGAAAGCCTACCCGTTGTGTTCCTACAAACCCTGCCTCCAATTACTTTTAGCACCCGCTACCATACATCTGAGCATCCGCTCGTAAAACAATGTCTATGGCAAATGCACCTATATGGCTGTCTTACTCTTCAGAGCATTATATGGCATCTCTCTTAGATTGTAACATTCCACAACTCAAAGAAGCACTTGGTACCAAAAGTGTACCACACAACAGCAATAAGTCTCAATTGGTTACTCAAGTATATAAATATTTCTGTGAACTTTGTATCCAAATTCCTACTGGTAATGAAACTTCTACTTACAGATATTTTCATAACTTACTCGGTGATATTCTGTCAAAAATTATGCTACCTCCATGTCCTCTTGTAAATTTGGATTCTCCTGCACTGATTGAAGTAAGAGCTTCTAAACTCAATCCTAGTAGTGAGTATAATATTAAAAGTATCAAGGCTGCACTACAGAATTTGCACGCTTCAAGACGGCCTAAAACAAAATTATCAGGTTTTCCACAATATTCTGCATATCTAGTTTCAACAATCAAACATCGGATTTCTCATCTCAGTTGTTTGTCAACCAATGATATATTGTCTTATATCAGATGCCTAAATCCATTTTATGAGTCTGATATATCTGATTTAGATCCATCAGAACTCATCATAGAATTTTTGAAAATTGAATATTCAGAACAACTTGTGGAATATGTGTTGATGGAATATCAAGAACGTAAAAATATCCGATACAGAACTCAGAAATTAATAGCTTCTCAACAGCAATTTCAAAG